ATCTCATAATCTCAATATCTCACCAACTTTTCACCTAGCTCTTGGTCAAGGATATAAGTAAGGTGTCACATTTTCTTTCACAAAAAAATAGTATGTCTCCACTTTCTCGTATTTCTATGAATAATGGTATGCTGCATGAGGATGAATGTATCACAACACATACAACACAAAGGCATAATCAGTTCATCAAGAATTTCAAATAGATTCAAGTACCCAAACTCAACAAGTCATGAAACACGTCCTCAAATGATAGGGATAGTGAAGGAATCCATTTGAAATCAGTCTTTACCACTTAAAAAACATTTCTTTCATTTTAGGCATTCCAAAAATCAAGTCAAGCCCCTAACTGGGGCATCCCAATGTCAAATATAAGGATAAGTCACACAACCTCTCGCTCGATCAATTACTCAAATGTCACAAGTTTTCAACAACAATTACCGATTTCACACGAGCCTCCACACAGGCTAAACATCACAAATAGGCATCACACATACTAAACAAGAATTTCAACTCTTAACAACCTCTAAAATACACAATACAACTCATTTCATAGTTGACGCCCTAAGAAAGATCACTTACTCTGTAACATCCTGTAACTAGAAAATAACTAGAAAGAAGTTAAAAAGTGGAAATAGTCATTTTTGGAAATAATATAAAAATCTGAAAATTTTGTTAAGTATGTTAAGTTGGATTTTTGGTAAACTTTAAACGACCATAAATCTTTAGTTCATGATGAGTTAGGTGTTCTTCCAGATATCGTAGGAAAGATCTTGGAATAATCTCTCCAACGCTTCCGAGTTTGCGCGATTCTGAGTTCGTATGAGTGAGTTATGCTCATTGGAAGTTGGGCTGTTCAAGTAAGGAAATGTCCAATCTGGATTTTTAAAGGGTAGCTGGTCTTTTCCTTACCCTTTTATTTTAATTCATTTTTGGTAATTACTTAGGGGTCTAAACTGAACTTTGTCAGTTTAGGCTTTGGAGAAATTGAGTTAGGGTTTTAGAGAAGAGAAAAGAAGAGGAGAAAAGAGAAGGAGAAGCAAGGAAATCGTCAAGTTCTTGAAGTTAAGATCATGGATTTCGTCAAGGGGTAATCCCTACGAGGTATGTGAGATCACATAGCGTTGGCTTAGTTCACCCACGCGCCAAACATGTTTAATTCATCGTATTTTCGTCCTAAAAAGATTGAGAATTTGATGTTCTTGAATTGATTTCGTTCTTGAATATGAGTTGAGATTAAGGAGTTTCTTGATATTAAAGTATTGATTTATTGAGTTGTATGAGTTAGATTTTGTGTATATACCTTGGTATCTGATTCTAAAGTGAATTTGAGAAAAAGAATAGATTAAAATCAATTTAAGATTAGAAAACGAGACCAAAAGTTCGTCAGATTTTTGCCTAAGGAACAGGTGGCGTGACGCGTCCACATAGCCCCTGGAAGGCTGGGGCGGCGCGCCAGCAGAGCGCCATTTTGGAGCCCCAGTAATTTAGGGATGGCGCAGCGCGCCAAGGACGCGCCCGGATCGTCGTTTTTCATCAGTTTTTCATCGTTTAGCCTGTTTAATTCCTTCTAAAGTGTACTAACACTTCCTATTGATTCTAACTACTCTAAATGACTTCTAAACATCTAGAAATCATCCAAAAACATGAATCATAACCTTGAATACATAAATTCAAATTCAAGGAAAGTCAAGAGCCAAGTCTAGGAAGTTCTCAGAGTATTTTCAACAAGTCTTTTGCAAATGCTTTTAACTTTGTTTTAAGACTTAAAGATCAAGTTGAGTAAAAAGGAAAAGTTTGAAGTTCATTTCTTCAAAAGTATATAGGGACTATGTATTCTGAAAGGGTTTAAAATGTTTTCACATTTAAACAAGAAAGGAAACCTCGATTTCCAAAGAACCTTCGGGCTAGTTTTCAGAAAAGAGAAATCGCTTTCTAAATGAAGCAAGAGAGGAAACTTTGATTTCCAAGATAGCCTTTGAGCTAAGTTTTTTAGCACTAATCTCAAATCACGGAAAGAAGTATATTTTAAACATAAGAGCTAATATTATATTTTTAGGAGTAGTATTGAGCACCGATATGGGGGAGAGTTCAGACAACTCACAACCCCCATAAACCATGTAGCCATCATGGGTAGAAAATGGTCATACTTTTTAGATGATTCCTTTAGCGCTTTTTAGCATAGACTAGTGGATCCACTTTGTGAGTTAGGTTCTATACCCCCGGCAAGGTATATGACGGTCCTTGGCAGCATGAGGTAAAACGTTGTATCATCACTACAACTCTTAAATGATGGTTGTCGGTTAGAGAAACTCACACATCCGTATTTTGTATTTTTATATACAAACAAAGTTCATATTGTTTCTTTGCATACATACAAAGTTATTATTGTATTTCTAAATACACAGTGTTGACATCATGTTTTAAACAACTTTTCCTTATATTGCATTTGTTTTTAAACTGCTTTATATTGAAATGAGTTCAGTTATGCTGAGTTGAGTTGAACCAGGTAAGTTCTTCTGTTCCTTTCAGATTCTTTTTAAGCTTAAGTTGTGTTTAGCATTCCAGCTAGCATACTCGTACATTCAATGTACTGATGTCAGTTGGCTTGCATCGTCTTATGATGCAGACGCAGGTAACCAGGATCAGCATCCAACGCATCGTTGATCCAGTTGAGCTTCAGAGTTGTTGGTGAGCCTCTTTGCATTCTGGAGGATCTCCCTTTTTCATTACTTTATCATTTTAGTTCATTAGGATGTCGTGAGATTGTACCGACAACCATCTCAGTTGTTTTAGAGGCTTCATAGATAGTCAGTCAGATGTTAGTTAATTCGTCATCATTTTGTTATTGGATTATGTTCACATTTGAGTTACCATTTTGGCTAAGTTAAATGTTTATTTTTAAAACATTATGAGTTCAGTTTGAGACAGTTGAGTTATTTAGCATATTAATCCTTTTCTTAATGCTTAAAGTCTTCCGCTGAGTAAGTAAGCCAGGCCAAGGGTTCGCTTGGGATAGCAATGGTTCTCGAGTGCCGGCCACGTCTAGGGTGTAGGCTCGGGGTGTGACAATCTCATCTCAATCTAAAAGAGGGATAGGAAAACATATCTCGAATGTCAAAACTTAACTCGAATAACTCTATTGAAGCACTTCCTCAACCACACGATCACCAAAATGATCCATAACTATCAATAATGGAAATAGTTCATCAAAAGGGTCCCAATGTTACACATATTGATAGGATTAGAAATTAGTGGTAAAATAGTCGAAAAATCACTTTGGAAATTAAAAGGGTAAGATCAAAATTTTAGTTGAAAATCAAGTTCTACAAGCCAAGAAGAGTTCATGGTTGAAAACTCCATTAAAACAAGCAAGGAATAAGCTCCAATTCAAGAAAATACCATTTTCCAACTTAGAGGAATAACCCTCAAAATCCACATTGAAATCATGATTAAAAGGTGTTTTTGGAAGATAAAAATTGATGAAATCAATAAGGAATGGGAGAGAAGGCTTACCCACACTAATTTTCACAAAATGCAGCCAATAAATCACTTTCCAAAGCTCCAAAAGATTGAAAATGAACGAAATGAGATAAATAGGAAGCATCTTGAGTTTAGGTTCTATCCATGAAAAACTTTAGTCATCGAGATCACGAGCCATTAACTCTCGCGATCGTGAAGGACATGAAGAATACATCACGATCGCGAGACCTCCTGTTCATAATCATGAAGGCTAAAGGAAAAGGTTCATCGCGATCGCGAGCCGATGGGCTGGGATCCAAAAGGTCACGAAGAAGACACATCACGATCACAAGCCTTTGGGCTGCGATCGCGAAGGTCATAAATGACCTACACTAGAAACTGAAAAACTAGCAGACCAACACAAACAAAATGCCCCCGAATGGACCTTAAAAAATCGTTTGGAGTCCGATAAAAATAAGTTGGATATGCTATCTCTATTAAATTTGACATTCTAGACTTAATGGAATTGTATGATTTCTAAAATGAGTTCAAATGATGGAATTACCCTCCCGTACCACTCTTTAAGGCTCAACACCCAACTTCTCACCCAAATGCCCAAACCTCAACCCAAGGCCTCAAAAACCTTACTAACCACGTTACTAGCTCAAGCTCGACAATTCGGTTGCAATTGAAGTGACAGAATCTCCATCAGATACTTGGAACTCAAAATGTTGACCAAAGTAAACCCTACCAAGGATTCTCAACTAAAAAGGGTCAAAATTACTAAAGACACATCCGATCGAATCAGGGACAACACCAATCGTTCTCGCAACACAAACTAAGCTTTGAAATGCTAAGGGGATGGAAAAATGGTTATTTCACAATTAAAAGCAAATACATAATAAATGGGACATTACACTAGTGGTTCTTACCCTAGCAAAGTTATCTCTTTCATTCGAGCCCAAAGATTGGTTGATAGAGGGTGTTTGTCCTATTTGGCCTTCATTTGAGATAGTAGTGTTGATCCACCTCCAATGGATTTTGTGCCCATGGTTTGAGAGTTTTCATATGTTTTCATACTGACCTTCCAAGTGTTGCTCTTGATAGGAACATTGATTTTTCTATTGACTTGGAGCCATGCATCAAGCGTATTTTTATCTATCCTTATCACATGGTTGTATCAAAGTTGAAGGAATTGAAGGATTGGTTGCACGAGTAAGGGGTTCATTCTCCCTAATGTGTCTCCATGGGGTACTCCAGTTCTGTTTGTGTAGAAGAAAGATGGGCCTATGAGGATGCATATTGACTAACAACAATTGAACAAAGTGAAAGTGAAGAACAAGTATCCTCTTCCTCGTATTGATGACTTATTTGATCAACTTCAGGGAGGATCTTTATTTTCTAATATTGATTTAAGGTTCGACTTCCATCAGCTGAAGATTAGGGTAGCGAATATCCCTAAGTCTACTTTGAGGACTCGATATGGTCACTATAAGTTTCTTGTGATGTCTTTTGGTTTGACTAACTATCCAGCAATATTAATGGAGTTTATGAAGGAGATGTTCCAACCGTATTTAGATTCTTTTGTGATAGTGTTCATTGATGACATCTTGGTGTACTCCAAGACTGATGAGGACCATGTTCGACACTTGAGGACTGTGCTCCAGAGATTGAGGGAAGAGAAGTTGTATGCCAAGTACTTAAATTGTGAGTTTTCACTTGATTTTGTTGAATTTCTAGGATATGTGGTGTCCAAGGAGGGTATTCAGGTGGATCCATCCAAGATTGAGATAGTTAGAGGTTAAACTTGGCCTACTCTAATTACCAATATTTAGAGTTTTATGGGAATTACAGGCTATTATAGGTGGTTTGTTCAGAGTTTAGTCACTATTGCATCTCTCTTGACCATATTGACTAGGTAGAGTATGAGCTTTCAGTGGTCTGATGAGTGTGAGGAGAGATTTCAAAAGCTCAAGACCTTGTTGACTTCAGCTCTTGTTTTAACTCTACCCGAGAAGAGTGTGGACTTTACCGTATACTGTGATACTTTTGGAGTCAGGTTAGGTGGTGTTTTGTTGCAGAAAGGGAATATGATCTTTTATGCTTCTAAATAGTTGAAGACCCACGAGAAGAACTACGCTACTTATGACAGACAGATTTCAAATGACCATATCTCCCTCATCCGAACTCAAAAATTAGCAAACTTAGTGGCGTTAGAAAGAGGATTTCAAGACCTTCCATTTGATATATTATGGGCCACCTAACCCATCATGTACTGAAAGTTCTGCTCGTTTGAAGTTGACATAAAACTCACAACTTAAGCATAACTTGCAAAATTCTCAATTTAGCTATTTCCAATTTAGCGCTTTCCAAATTTAGCTCTTTCTAAGGTGGGATGTTACAAGTATAAGGGAACTAAGTATTCCCGTTGTATCACTTTTTTCATTAAGCAAAGAGAAACCTTGTTTTCTAAATGAGCAATGAGTTCAGAGATATTTTAGAGCAGTTACCTCTTTTAAGAGGATAATTTGAGCAACTATCTCAAACCAGAGAAAAAGCATGTTTTATACATTTGAGCATGAATATATGTATTGTTAGGAGTAGTATTAAGCACCGATATGGGGATGAGTTCAGACAACTCAAAATCCTTATAAACCATGTCTTGCCGACATGGGTACAAGATCATACTTTTTAGATGAATCCTTATTGCTTAGTGGATCCACTTGTTTGAGAGGTTCTATACCCTGACATGGTTTATGACAGTTCTGGCAGCGTGGGCGAGATGTTGTATCATCACACAACTCATAGTGATGGTTGTTGGTTAGAGAATCTCCCATTAGAGTTAAACTATATTTGAATATATCGCTTATTATGTTGAGTTCAGAGATGAGTAAGTATTTTGTAAAACTTTAAATGATTTAACTCCTTTGTTTCTTTACATTCAGCTTGAGTATATTTTATCTATTACAGTTCATTTATTCAATTATTTGGCTTCGGCTATATTACATACTCGTATATTTAAATGTACTGATGTCATTCGACCTGCATATTTTTATGATGCATATACAAGTTCAGATCATCAACAGGTGCTTCATAGAGATCACTTTACACTTCAGCTAGCTTTTAGTGAGCATCCTTGCATTCCAGAGGACTTCACATTTACTTTCTACTTAGTAGTTTAGAGATGACATTGGTCTTATCCCGACATCCTTCTTTAATATTAGATACTTCATAGATAGACAAATTAAGTCGAGGTGTCTCTCGATATTTACTTTCTTTTGAGTTGTTTTACAAATTATAAGTATTTCTATTGAGTATTTTCCAGACTCTATGAGATGAATATTTTAGTTTAACAAATTTAATTATGTTTTGAGCCTATCATTACTTGAGTAAGTCTTCTGCTAAGTAATCAGTGAGACCAAGGGTTTGCTTGGGTACAAACAATGGTTCTCGAGTGTTGGCCACGTCCAAGTCCAAGGCGTAGGCTCGGGGCATGACATATATCATCGTCGATATCCATCACTTTAAAATTATTTTGATAGATTGAAGATCAAGAGCTAAGAAGAAACTAAAAAAAGTAACAAAAGAGGGGAACTTTTTTTCGTTACAATCTAAGTTATGAGAAAGTTGTTTGATATATAAATTGTGTTGAATAGAGATGATATTGAAAAGAAAAAGAGAGAAAACATTTCGATATGAAATGTGAAAGTAAAAGAGGGGAACATTTTTTCTTTACAATCTAAGTTATGAGAAAGTTGTTTGATATATAAATTGTGTTTAATAGAGATGAGATTTAGAAGAAAAAGAGAGAGAAAAATTCGATATAAAATATGAAAGTAATAGAGGGGAACTTCTTTTTCGTTACAATCTAAGTTATGAGAAAGTTGTTCGATATATAAATTTGTGTTTAATAGAGATGAGACTGAGAAGAAGAACAGAGAAAAAATTGATATAAAACGTGAAAGTAAAAGAGGGGAACTCCTTTTTCGTTACAATCTAAGTTATTAGAAAGTTGTTTGATATATAAATTGTGTTTAATAGAGATGAGACTGAGAAGAAGAACAGAGAAAAATTGATATAAAACGTGAAAGTAAAAGAGGGGAACTCCTTTTTCGTTACAATCTAAGTTATTAGAAAGTTGTTTGATATATAAATTGTGTTTAATAGAGATAAGCTTGAAAAGAAAATGAGAGAGAAAATTTCAATATAAACTGTGAAAGTAAAAGAGTTGTTTACGGAGTTTCTGAATATAGATAGAATGAGATGAAAAGATTTCGATACGAACGTTGGTGGTGAAAGTTATGTTTTATAGAATGAGAGTAGAGATAAGAACAAGATAATGAGATTTTTTTTATATAATCTAAAAATGTGAGAAAGTTATTTTGTGGATTGTTTGAATAGGATGTTAAAAAGAAATGTGTTGATACAAATTGAAAATGTGAGAGTGTGATTTTGTGGAGTCATACTTGACAAGATGTGAGAATTGAGATGATGACACTGTTAATTTTATACTAGTATTGATGCACATGCGTTGCACGTAAATGCCAAACTATTACACTATTTCTAAAGATAATGTCAATTTTATTAAACCAAATATTTAAGTAAAGGATTATTAATTAAATAATAATGTGTAAGTTCCTGTGATTAATGTAAGGTAGTGTGACACCTCTCTATGCTCTTCAATTATATTTATCTTTTTTGTCCCTTTTTTAAAAACTTTTTTCTCATTTAAAATTTATTGTGATATGTAAATGCAAAAAAGTCACTCTTAAAATCTCTTAATTACACCTCTTACATATACCTTCTCCTCCATTTCCCTACAATTATCTACTTATTTATTGTTGTATTGTTTGAGTTCATGCTTTTGGGTGTTTTTAGGTGAGGGTATGATATTTATTTAACATTCAAGACGAGAGGTCTTCAAATTTAACTGAACTTTAAACTCACTCAATGACTACAAATCATACCTGTGTTTTTTAAGAAGAGAAAAATAACAAACTTAGAAAATTTGTAGTTTAAAATGTGAGGATATCCCTCCATTTCAACCAACATATATATGGAAGTATGAAAATGTGTTTATTGCGCTTTATCAAGAAAGTCACAACTCTTCGGAACGAGTGTTGATTGGTTATGTTACCGCTAAACCTAATTGCTTAATTATCGCATGTGACCTTAAGACTATGTTGGGATTGTTGTTAGGTACTAGTAAATAATATAACCTATTGTATTAAAAAAGTAAGAAAAGAGGGAAACTTTTTTTGGTTACAAACTAAGTTATGAGAAAGTTGTTTGATATACAAATTGTGTTGAATAGAGATGAGATTGAGAAGAAAAAGAGAGAAAAGATTTCGATATAAAATGTGAAAGTAAAAGAGGGGAACTTTTTTTTTCGTTACAGTCTAACTTATGAGAAAATTGTTTGATATATAAATTGTGTTGATTAGAGATGAGATTGAGAATAAAAAAAGAGAAAAGATTTCGATATAAACTGTGAAAGTAAAAGAGTTGTTTGCATAGTTTTTGAATAGAGATAGAATGAATGACAAGATTTTGAAACGTACGAAGGTGGTGAAAGTTATGTTTTATGGAGTGAGAATAAAGATCATAAGAACAAAAAAATGAGTTTTTTTTTTATAATCTAAAAATGTAAGAAAGTTATTTTGTGGGTTGTTTGAATAGGATGTTAATAAAAGATTCTTCGATACAAATAGAAAATGTGAGAGTGTGATTTTGTGGAATAATACTTGAGTAGATGTGAAAATTGAGATGATGACATTGTTATTTTTATACTAGTATGATGCACGTGTGTTGCATATGAATGGCAAACAATTACACTATTTTTTAAGATAATGTCAATATTATTAAACCAAAATTTTAAGTAAAAGATTATAATGAAATAAGAATGTGTAAGTTCATGTGAATAATGTAAGGTGGTGTGACACCTTTCTATGCCCTTTAATTATATTTTATCTTTTTTATCCTTTTTTTTGTGTGATATGTAAATGCAAAAAGTCACTCTTAAAATCTCTTAATTAAACCTTAAATATACTTTTTCTTCCATTCCCCTACAATTATCTACTTATTTATTGTTTTATTATTGGAGTTCCTACTTTTGGGTGTTTTTTAGTTGAGGGTATAATATTTATTTAACATTCAAGACGAGAGGTGTTCAAATTTACCTAAACTTCGAACTCACTCAATGACTACACAATGACTACAAATCACACTTGTAATTTTTAAGAAGAGAAAAAAAATTAGAAAATTAATAGTTTAAAAATGTGAGGAAACCCCTCCATTTCAACCAACATAGGGTAGTATGAAAATGTGTTTATTGTGCTTTATCAAGAAAGTCACAACTCTTTGGAACAAGTGTTGATAGGTTATGTTCCTGCTAAACCTATATGCTTAATTATCACATGTGACCTTAAGACTATGTTGGGATGGTTGTTAGGTACTAGTAAATAATATAACCTATTGTTTTAAAAAAGTAAGAAAAGAGGGGAACTTTTTTTTGGTTACAAACTAAGTTATGAGAAAGTTGTTTGATATATAAATTGTGTTGAATAGAGATGAGATTGAGAAGAAAAGGAGATAAAAGATTTCGATATAAAATGTGAAGGTAAAAGAGGAGAACATTTTTTTCGTTATAGCCTAAGTTATGACAAAGTTGTTTGATATATAAATTGTGTTGAATAGAGATGAGATTTAGAAGAAAAGAAGAGAAAAAATTTCGATATAAACTGTGAAAGTAAAAGAGTTGTTTGCAAAATTTCTGAATAAAGATAGAATGAGATGAAAAGATTTCGATACGAACGAAGGTGGCGAAAGTTATGTTTCATGGAGTGAGAATAGAGATAAGAAAAAAAAATGAGTTTTTTTTTATATAATCTAAAAATGTAAGAAAGTTATTTTTGTGGATTGTTTGAGTAGGATGTTAATAAAAAGATTCTTTGATACAAATCGAAAATGTGAGAGTGTGATTTTGTGGAGTAATACTTGAGTAGATAATGACATTGCTATTTTTATACTAGTATTGATGCACGTGCGTCGCACATGAATTTCAAACTATTACACTATTTTTTAAGATAATGTCAATATTATTAAACCAAAAATTTAAGTAAAGGATTATAATGAAATAACAATGTGTAAGTTCCTGTGAATAATGTAAGGTGGTGTGGCACCTTTCTATGCCCTCTAATTATATTTTATCTTTTTTGTCCTTTTTTTTAGAACTTTTTTCTCATTTTAAATATTTGTGTGATATGTAAATGCAAAAAGTCACTCTTAAAATCTCTTAATTACACCTTACATATACCTTTCCTTCCATTCCCCTACAATTATCTACTTATTTATTATTTTATTGTTGGAGTTTCTGCTTTTGGGGGTTGTTTAGTTGATGGTATTATCGTTATTTAACATTCAAATTGGGGGGTTTTCAAATTTAACTGAACCCCGAACTCACTCAATGACTACAAATCACACTTGAGTTTTTTAAGAAGAGAAAAAACTTAGAAAATTCGTAATTTAAAAATGTGAGGAAACCCCTCCATTTCAACCAACATAGGGTAGTATGAAAATGTGTTTATTGTGCTTTATCAAGAAAGTCACAACTCTTTGGAATGAGTGTTGATTGGTTATGTTTCCGCTAAACCTAATTGCTTAATTATCGCATGTGACCTTAACACTATGTTGGGATGGTTGTTAGGTACTTGTATATAATATAACGTATTGTATTTAAAAAGTAAGAAAAGAGGGAACTTTTTTTTGTTACAAACTAAGTTATGAGAAAATTGTTTGATATATACATTGTGTTGAATAAAGATGAGATTGAAAATAAAAAGAGAGAAAAGATTTCGATATAAAATGTGAAAGTAAAAGAGGGAAAATCTTTTTTTCGTTACAATCTAATATATGAGAAAGTTGTTTGATATATAAATTGTGTAGAATAGAGATGAGGTTGAGAAGAAAAAGAGAGAAAATATTTCGATATAAACTCTGAATGTAAAAGAGTTGTTTGCAAAGTTTCTGAATAGAGATAGAATGAGATGAAAATATTTCGATACAAACGAAGGTGGTGAAAGTTATGTTTTATGGAGCTAGAATAGAGATAAGAAAAAAATGAGATTTTTTTATATAATCTAGAAATGTGAGAAAATTATTTTTGTGATTGTTTGAATAGAATGTTAATGAAAAGATTCTTTGATACAAATCGAAAATGTGAGAGTGTGATTTTGTGTAGTCATACTTGAGTAGATATGAAAATCGAGATGATGACACTGTTATTTTTATACTAGTATTGAAGCACGTGCGTTGCACGTGAATGCCAAACTGTTACACTATTTTAAAGATAATGCCAATATTATTAAACCAAAAATTTAAGTAAAGTATTATAAATGAAATAACAATGTGTAAGTTCCTCTCAATAATGTAAGGTGGTGTGACACCTCTCTATGCCCTTTAATTATATTTTATCTTTTTTGTCCTTTTTTTAGAACTTTTTCTCATTTTAAAATTGTGTGATATGTAAATGCAAAAAGTCACTCTTAAAATCTCTTAATTACACCTTACATATATACCTTCTCCTCCATTCTCCTACAATTATCTACTTATTTATTATTTTATTGTTGGAGTTCCTGGTTTTGGGTGTTTTTAGTTGAGGGTATTATCGTTGTTTAACATTCAAATTGGGGGTTTTCAAATTTAACTGAACTTCGAACTCACTCAATGACTACATATTACACTTGAATTTTTTAAAAAGAAAAAAAAATAGAAATCATAGAAAATTCGTAGTTTAAAAATGTGAGGAAACCCTTTCTATTTTAACCAACAAAGGTTAGTATGAAAATGTACTTATTGTACTTTATCCAGAAAGTCACAACTCTTCAGAATGATCAATACTCATCAGAAAAGTCACAACTCTATGGAAAAGTCACAATCCTTCAATGTGAAAATTTGTCTTCTTTCAATAAATATAATATCAAATATAGAAATATATTAAATTGGGTGTTTTAAAAAGAAGAATAGAATCCTTAGAAATTCGTAATTTAAAAATGTGAGAAAATCTTTCTATTTATAGCCAACGAAGGCTAGTATGAAAATATATTTATTCTGTCTTATCATAAAAGTCACAACATTTTAAAATCATGCGACTTCACGTTCAACCGCATGCAAAACTAACACACAGAACCTATCTAAAGTAATCCACTAAGAAAATTTTAAAATACAACTCCAATCAAGGAGAGAAGAATGTGGGAGTAAATCATGAAGAAATAAAGGAGTTGAACATAATATGTGTTTTAAAAAGAAGAAAAGCATGTGTTTCTTGCTGATATGCGTTATTTTTATCAAGAGAAGAGCCAATTTTCCTTGTCGCAACAGACTTATAATATGTGTCTCTAGTCATCGCAATCATTAAAGCAACAGAATTTACATTCCATTTGAATTCCTTTTGTCTACTAAAATTGAAATAGGACAAAAACTTGCATTATGTAAGTGAAGACTTTAGTCCTCTTGTTTTGGAAGAAGGTAAAATGAAGTTTTCTGTAGACCACATGCCTTTAGCTAAGCATATGTACAACCTTGGCAATTGCTAATTTGCTACTGATGAGAACATTAAAATCCAAAGTCTTTCACTGGACAAGATTCAACTCATCATGGATTACTTATGCTGGTTCTATTTCGTGTTTGCCATAATAATTAATTTAGGATCATCCTCGGATGGCATAACAATTCGAGCAATGAGACGATAGTGATAAAATTTGAATCTGATGATCAGATGAAGAAGAAACAGAAGAAAGGAATGAAGAATAAAGAGAATCAACAACTATAATTTGGGAAATTTTATTTTGCATTGAATGAATTAATTAGTACACATATTCCATGGCATATATATACATTGCACATCTCACTAACTAATTTGCTAGCTGACATGACAACTAATTGTTCCTCTAACTAACTTGACAATTGTGTAACTAGCTAGATGATTGGATTAAGTTATACTAACGGTTCCATAACTATTTAACTCCTATAGTTTTAATAGCCCCCTCAAACTAGGTCCTATGAAGACATTCAAGACACCTAGTTTGGACAATAAGAACTCATGTTGAGTCTTTCACAAATCTTTAGTCAATAAGTCTTCCAGTTGATCATGTGAAGGAGCATACACAATCTTGATCAAATCCTGCTGAATCTTTTCCCTGACAAAGTGATAATCTATCTCGATATGTTTAGTTCTCTCATGAAATACTGGATCTGCAGCTATTTGAATAGCTGCTTTGCTATCATAGTAGATTGATACTGGCCCTTCAATATGAATTTCCAATTCCTTAGCAGGTTAGTGACCCAGACTACCTCAGTTGTTAAGCCTGCTAAAGTTCTATACTCAGCATCTGTTGAACTTCTGCTTGGATTTCCAGGCAATGAGAGAGTCACCAAGTTTGAGGATGTAACCTGTTACAGTCTGGCCCAATCAGCATCACAATACCATGTTAGTTTCATGTCCTTCTCTGATGACATTAGTAATCCCAGCCCTGGTTGAGTCTTAATATACCAAAGAACTCTCAATGCTGCATTATAATGTTTCACTATGGGTCTCTCTGCATAAACTGACTTAATGTTCGAACTGTGTAGGCAATATCAGATGGTTAAGTAAAGTAGTTTCCCAATAATTATTTGTTATTGTTGTACATTTTCAAATAGTTCAACCAACTCAGTTGCCCCATCATCAGCTTACTCAGCTTTATGTTACACTCCAAAGGAGTTAAAGTTATCTTGCCTCACGTTAAACCAATAACTCTATAACATACTTTCTTTGGTTTATCAAAATCCCCTTATTTAATTTGCTAAATTCAATCCCAAGAAAAACTTTAACTCTCTTAAATCTTTGATTTTTGAAGATTGACGGAGTACTAGTTTGGTATCCTGGATCAGTTGTGTGTCATTGCCTCTTATTAGCAAATCATCCACATAGACCAGTATGATTACCATCTTGTTTCCTTGCTTCTTAGTGAATAAAGAGTAGTCCAGATGACTCTTCTTATATCCTGAGTTTACTAATGCTTCTGTTAGTTTCAAGTTCTATAGTCTAGATGCTTGTTTGAGTCCATACAAAGACTTGACAAGCTTATAGACCATAGGTGTATCCCCCGGACCTTCAAACCTTTAGGCATCTCCTTCAAAACATCTTCCAACAAATCCCCTTGCAAAAAGGCGTTGTAGACACCCATTTGGAATAACGGCCAATTCTCTACAAATAACAGTTCTAACTGTCACCATTTTCACAACTAGTGAAAGGGTTTCTTGATAATCAACACCAGCAGTCTGATTGTATCCCTTTGCTACAAGTCTTGCTTTGTATCTTTTCATATCACCGTCAGGCTTGTATTTGATCTTGTGCACTCATTTGCAACCAATCACTAACTGATCATGAGGTAAATGAACTAGTTTCCAAGTCCCCTTATCTTTCAAAACTTGCAATTCTTGCTTCATAGCATCAACTCATCTTGCATTTGTTACAACTTCTTCATATATAATTCTTAGAGTTAAATGATATTTTTATAAATTTATTTTCAAAATCAATTTAAAATTTTAAGAATTCTACATCATTCATAGCATACACAAAAAAAATAAAAAATCAAGACTCCAATCATAAAATTGTAAATGAAAAGAACGTAATTAATTGCAAAAATGAAGGAAACAATATTTAAGAAAAGAAATATTGAGAAAAAAAATGTTTAACCCATTTTTATTTGGATGCAACGGTTTTTCAGTATTAGCTACTTCTCAAGCAAAACGATAGTTATTTATTTTATATTTTTCATATAATTTGTGTGAATGTTATGAGAAGACAATCAATAAAAATGAATGAAAAAATTAAAAGAAAGTGTAGTTCCCACTTTCCTACTTTGTGTCCCCCATTTATCTTTCACTTCCTCCTCCGCGTTTTAGTGATTATAATTTTTTTACCTTCTAAATTTTAATTTATATGTTATATCTTTATTTACATTCAAATGGATAAATAAATAAACTTAATCATCTCAATTCAATTTTTAAAATTTATAATTATAGTTAACTTTATCTCCGAAGTAGTTTGAATTTAAATTTTTGATCTTTATCTTTTAAAACTAATTAACTTCTCAATTCAAAATTTAAATAATTCTTAAAAGGACTTTAAAAGAACTTTCATATTATTATTTTTCATTTAAAGATACAGAAAGACACTTTAAACATGTGTAAATAGGAATTATATCTATTGATTCATTGATGCAAGTATTTTTGTCTATTTCTAGTATTACTGCAATTAAAATAAAATAAACAATATATAAATATTGAATACTATTTACTAATATGTATTAAATAGGAATAGTTAGATCTTAATATATATTAAATGAACAAAAAACTGAAATTAGAACAATCTTTATTACAAACACAATTAAACAACTTATGAAACAGAAATAGATAGATTTATAGTTTAAGACATGATAAGTTGATGTATAAACAGAGTTCAAGAATATTGTCCCTAAAATTATCATGTATGCATTTATTCTAAATTAATTAAAATAGAAATTTGTGTTACGTTAATATGCAGAAATAATTAGTAATGTGAAAATCCACAATATATACATTATGACTATAAAATTTACCTTGTCATCTTGCAAAACTAATTTTAAAGAGAAGGATATTTACTTTGTGTACTTATCCGGCACTAATCACAATCGAATAATTTGAATTTTGAAATTTCATCGTGTGAATTTGCTTGAAATATTTGATATCGTATAAAATTGTAATGCCATAACTGATTTTGGTGTTCAAAAGAACAATGTTTGGTTTCTACATCGTAGGATTACGCGGTAGTATTTAATTGATGGGCAGTTTTAAAACTGTTTTGGATTTTAAGCATTTATTAAATTAAATAATCTAAAATCTATGAAGGGAATCCTTATAAATATTAATTTAGGATGTGGTAAAGTGCAGTTGAAGCCGTTCATTATGGATAGTTGCTGTTATATTATTATTATTATTAGTATGCGTTGCGCGGATAAATGTAATTGTAAATATTAATTTATAGACAATTTTAAAATTTAATTTATTATTAATTAATATTATCAAATAAATGCTACATATTAAATATGTGTAGATAATAACTTAAACAATATATTAAAATAAAAAATAAAAGTAATGATACAAACCCAACGAATTAAACATCAATCCTCCTGGAAAAAAAAACAGTAAAAAGTTAATTAATAATAAGTTAAATTTTATATAACGCGATAAAATAAAATAAAATTCTAAATGTAAATTTTAAAAAATTATTTGTTAAATGTCCAACATATTTGATAATTAAAATTCAATTCAAATTACTTGCTTAGAAAGATATGATATTACCCCGTATAAATTGTTTGTTTAACTCAAAAGTTCAGAAAGAATCAAGTTACCAACAATATATTCCATAATTTGATACTCCCTCTGTCCCAATTTATATGACTCACTTTCCTTTTAGTCAGTCCCAAAAAGAATGACACATTTCTATTTTAAGTAACAATTTGCCTATAAAATGTCTTTTTTACCCTTAATGAAATGATTTACAACCACACAAATTTCTATCATTCATTTTGGACCACAAGTTTTAAAAGTCTTTCCATTTTTCTTAAAGTTTGTGCCAAATCAAAGTACATCACATAAAATGGGACGGAGGGAGTATCACTTAAAACAACTCTGAATTTGAGCAGCATCAAAAACAGTCACAACTCATAAATATATATTATCTTTATCTATACTCAACCACATGACATATGTAGATTAAATAAGATAAAATTATTCAACTTTATCTAGGACAAATTTCAAAATAACCTTTGAGATAGAAAGTCAACAATTCTTGTGTGTCTCGTGAACCTGAAACTAACAGTAGGTTGGACTTTGGAGCAATATGCTTGTACTTGTGTCATGTTGCTGATAATTTCAAATAGACTATACAAATTGTTCATAATAATAATTTAGGCTCTACTAAGAAATAATTTTTAAAACAGGAACAGAATGCAACATGCTAGCAACTCTTGCTCAAGTTTGTTCCACAATCTCACACAATTTCTTCTTCCATAGACCACATATATATGCTCATCGTCGACTTTAAAATTTACCATTTACTTAAATAAAATTAGTTAGCAAGTATTGGCAAATATTGAAAAAAAAAAAAAAAAGCATGCAAGGAATCATACGTCTGGGTTCAATCACATATTTAATATGGAATCAATATAAGTCTAAACACTGTCTCATTAACGGATTATAGATTAGCTACCCTTGAACTTCTAAATTGTATATTACAATAAAATTATATTTAGGATTTCAAGAGGATAAGTGCACTATTACAAAAAAATAAAAATAGATCTAAGATATATATTTGATTGATTTACATTTAGGTTCTTATCATTAAACCTACTAACTTTCAATTATAGGTTCAAAATTATTCTTACTTTTTAAAATAGTAGTAGTAGTAATTGTGTATCGTCCACTATTATTAGTTTTAATATACATATTTAGTTTCATTATACAAAATTTTTACAGTGAATTAGGAATTTTCAATGTGACAAACTTGAAAATTTAAAAAGATTGAAAGAAATTATTTTAATTATACACTAACTAATTACCATTAAACATAACATCTCAATTACACTACATATGGATATATAAATTATTACCTGAAGAAATCTCAAATCTTTTTTTCCACACTTATCTTCTAATTTGTCATTGCAAATGCTCCCATCGGAAAATTGTCTTCTCATGAAAGGCAAAATATGCAAAAATACAATAATCACAAATTACTTATTGAAATTAATGAGTAACAAAGAGATTAAGAATATGATTGGCGTGGAAACAAATTTTTTAGAGAATGATATTGTGCCAATAAAAAAAAAGTGATCAATATACACTTTGGAGAAAAAAATGAATATGCTCTTTCACAAATTCTTTGGATGTTGTTGTATAAAGTGGGGACAGGAGGGAAAAAAAAAAGTGCTCCTGCGAGAGAGAATGGGGGGAAGTGGGAAGTTGTGGTGGTTTTATAATCCTCTTTTTGTTTTTATTTAATTGATTTATTTTATTATTTTATATTTTATTACTTTGACAATCAGTTTTCTTTAGTAACTGCATTATCCTATAAAAAAAACTGTAATATTATAAAAGAAACTGCAATATTAAAATAAAATAAAAAATCATAATAAAAAGACTAAAGTAACTGCAAATTTTGAATTTTTAAAAAGCGGTAAAAGTTAAAAGCAAAAAAAAATTCCTTTTAATGTTAACTTTATTTTTATTTTCGAAATTTAAATTAATTTAATAATTAAGATTATTATTATGATAATATCTGTTTTAATTTAATTTAATTTAATTATTATTATTATTATTATTGTTATTATTATTATTATTATTATTATTATTATTGTTATACATTTGTTTTGCTATAAATAAGGAGGCTGTGGAAACATATTATTATTATCATTATTAAATAAATACTTTTTGTCAAACAATTTTTAATTATTTTTT